AGAAATAAAATAAATAAATGAATAATATACGGAAAGAGAAAAATACCATTCACAATGCAAGATATTCTATTACCATCTTTTACTTTTATACATCTTACAATCTCTTCTGACTTATTTTCAGCTTCAGTAACACTTTTTTTATACCTTTACATCACTGAATTCTTTTACATTAGGCATTTCTTTTTTTATCCCTTCTGATATACTTTATAAATATCCTGATTCTTGTATTAAATTAGGTTTTTATCCCTCCTTTTCTATAAAGAAGAAAAATTTAAAAAAAATAGATAAAATAAAAATGTACATTTAATTATAGTAATTTTTTCTTTTATGAATCTGCATTTCCAATTTTATTTAATTTATAAAGTTTCATATCAAACGTCTATATCAATCTGTTGCTTGAATCTCAAACACTTTTTTTTTCTCTTCTCATTCTCTTTCTCTCGTCTCTCTTCCCTTCCCTCTTCCTTCGTTTGTTTTGTACCACCTAAATTTTATTAGCCATCTTTATTAATGAAGCTATTTTGCTTATTTCTTTCCCCTTATTTTCTCTTAATTTCCTCTCATTTCATTTCCACCTCACCCAAATTTTATCATAAATATCTTGTTTGCCTTCTAGCCTATATGCAATCTCCTCGTAGATTTTGGTAGTAGAGATCTTTTCCCTTATAATACTTAATGATGGCACCTGTTTTGTTTTCCATAAATTGGCAATAGCATTTTTTGTAGCCATCAAAATATGTATAATTAGCACTTTTACTTGTAGCAATATTCTCTCTGGCATAATGTGTAGTAGGAATATTTCTGGTTGCAGGGGCAACCTGTATTTGTAACTTTAAGAATTAATTGTTGAATGTGTTTCTATACATCAATTATTTTTTTTACACTTCCAAAATATATGGGTCATAGATCCTTCCATTTCCCCACATCTCCAGCATGTCCCCACATTCTCTGGATTTATTTGCGCCAATTTTTGTGGTGTCATGTACCACCGTAGCCACATTTTGTATTTTGCTTCGATATGTTGTATATTATGTGTGGCAGCCTTAGTTGATCTCATAGCCCTATACCATTGAAAGGGTTCCCACTCGTTGTTTAGCTCCTTCTCCCAATTTAACATAAAAGGCAGTTTCTCTGGTTTTGCTAGATTTAATATTCCTCTATAGCCTATTGATAGAGTCTTATCTTGGGGTTGTCTCTCCAAACATAGCCTCCCAAAATCATTCACCCTAGAATTTTCCACCTCCTTCACTTGAAGTTTCATTAAAATATGTTTCACTCTGAGATATGTATAGAGTTCCCTGTTATGAAGATCGTATTTAATTTGTATATCTGGGAATTGATGAATAGCTGAGCCTGCTATTAGATGTCAGGTTTTTATTAATCCTTTCTTTTTCCATGTTATGTTTAAATTTTTTGTATAAAAAGTTAAACTTTGCAGAGTTCCATAGTAAAAATAATTGCCTTTCCCCAGAAGTTTAGGGGCCCAGTAACTCCACAACCTCAGATTTGTGTGGTGGATAGGAAATTATAGTTTCTAAGATGAGCGCGATGTGTTATCCAAATGAGATCCAGTATATGTCATATTGTGGGACAATCGATTGTTCTAATATATGCCATAGGGGTATACTAGATGTATCTATTAGTGCTGCTGTTTGTGCCAGTATGGAAGCTATATAATATTTTTGAATATGCGGTAC